AGTAGTTCGCATCACTACAAGGATTGACAAGAGTCTAATCTTTTGAGAAAAGAGTTTTTAAAATAAAAAGCCAAAGTGGCAAAATGGTTTGAATGAGATTGATTGACTTTTAGTGTTCTCACAAAAATTTCAAAGTATTATTAAGTTGGTTAAGGTTTGATTAAGAAAATATTTTTGAAAATGCATGGACATAAGTCCAAGTTTATTATGAAAGTGGTTCAAGTTTAGAAAATAAGAATAGTTTTGAAAAAGGAGGGAGAAGATTTTTGAAATTAAAGAAGATGGGAGAAGATGAAGGGAATATCCTAAAGCATAAGGTAAAAGCTAGGGAAAAGAACCATCTAACCAACAAGAAGCCAACATTTGACATAATGAGTCAATGTAGAATTCCCATCATTTGTATTGAAACTAAGCAAGAAAGGATGCTAAACCTCTTAAGAATACCAAACTTAAAATGTATTTAGTCTTCACAAAAATTGGACAGAGTAACAGTTGTATACAGATAAGTTGCTAATCACAGACAAAGCATATAATCAGAATAATATGTACACAAAGAAAACAAACAACCCAATGTCTTGGGGGTAAACCCCAAGAACTCCAGACAAAATAATAATAGAAGTTACAAGGTCTCATGGTAGGTCAAGGTCTCTACTTCTAAGTCCAAGAAGTCCATAACTCCATCATACCAAATAGTCTAAGTAACGTTAAAGTTTTTTATGGCTCAAGTTGATTATTAGGTATCTTCAAAAATAAAATGAAAAGCTCAAGTGAGCAAAACAAAATGACATAAAGATAAATACTCAAATGAGCAAAGATGAAAATAGAATGAAATGAAAATGCTAAAATAAATGTGCTTAAAGTAAAAAGCATAATGTAAAAGCATAAAATAAAGTCAATTGTTAGAAATTAGAGGTTAGTTGAATGACCATCTTGAAACTTATATTTGAAAACTCATTAGAAGATTGATAAAATCAAAGCCTCTCAACAACACGTTTTATTTTCTTTTTGTCAAGTATATCATTCATTTCAAAAATCTCAAGGAAACAATAAATGATCAACGATGTTTAAATGATTCACTTAGTCCAAAATTTATGATGATTCATTAGAGGATTGATAAGACCAAAGCCTCCTAACAATGAACCTCAAGATTGTTAGATCAAAGGTTTCAAATTAGACATACTTGGGCTTGCAAACATATGTTTGGGCCACGAATGATCATTACACGAATCGGGACAAAATTTAGCGCTATGTTAAACAATCGTAAGTGGACTTACATAGAAGTCGCGCCTATTTTGAGGCTGATCAATAGCAATCTATGTGCCATATGTTTGGAGTGATGATATGTAAATCATCCTCTAACAACATGTAGCACAAAAGAGAAGAGGATGAGATGAAGAGGGAAGGGATATATTTAAAGAAAAAAAATTAATCAAATTATCATTAAAATCATCCATCCATTTTAGTGGAGTTAAACTCAACACTCAAGATCCAATTATGTTCATAAAGTTCATGAGCAATAAACACAAAGCCAGAATATATATAAAAAATTGCATTTAATGAATAAAATTAAAAAAGACTTTTAAATTGTTTTTTTAAAATAAAAATAAAAGGTAAAATAGCAAACTATAATCAAAGTATCAAAGAAAAATTAAAAGAGACCATAGAAAAATCATAAATAACCTCAAATACTTTTATAATTTTTTTGGTAATTTTTAAAACAGAAAAGTATTTTAAAACTAATTAAAATCACTTAAATAAGTGAAGAAAAAGATAAAAAATAATACAAGAAAAGATAAAATTCTAGAAAAATTTCAGAAAGTTAGAAATGAGTAAAATGATTTTTATAAATTTTTTTAGAATTTAAAAACATCAAAAAGTATTTTTAAATGATTAAAAACAAGTTAAAATAAAGGAGAAATTATAAAAAATATCAAATTTGAAAATAAAATCATGAAAAAATAAAAATCAGGAAGAGAAAATTTGAAAATATTTTTGTGAATTTTTTCATAATTGTTTAGTCAAAAATGAATATTCTATGATTATTTGATTTTTAAAACAAATACATATAAAAAATCAAAAAATAAAATAAAGTCAGAAAAATGTGGACCACTGGATCATTGTCAAAACGTGTTAGTAAGCAGATACAAGGGATCTGACACGCTGTGCATGATATGGTCACTATTGGAAATCACACCAAATCAATTATTAAATCATATTTTAATAAAATAAAAGGAAAAAATATGGTCCTATACAGGTTTGAAGATGATATCCTACTTTGACTCAGAAATTGAGACAGGCTGGGACTCCTTATGGACGAAGATGATAATAGATATAGATTTAATGATTTCCTACACTGTCTTAGAGATTGAGACATGTATGAATACCTTGCGGATTATGGCCAATGAGGAGTCCCTACAGGATAAGGATAATGATATAGACATAAGCCCTACAGGCTAAGGATAGTAGTGGATGAAGAGATAACCCTTGCAGGTTCGTAGATTATAGTGGGATTTGTGAAAGGTATCCTTAGAAGGTAGGTTCTTAGTATTGGCCTACGGATATTCTACCCTCCCCATAAGGTGGTTTCCTTAAGGGTGTCATGAATAACGCTAGAGGGAAAGGCATAAGGGCCTCTCTTAAGCGGAGTCTCTTTACAGACCGAAACTTTCGTCTCTAGGTCATGAAAGGTCTCATCACGAGTTTTTGGTTTAAAGACCGTACAAAGAGTCATATGTATCATTCCAAAGTCCTACTTTCCCAAGAAGATGTCTCGAGAGAGGTATTCTTTTTGCGAAACTCCACCGACTCTAGGCGAAGTCGTCACATAAACTCATAGGGTTGATGTAACCCCTTGGCTAATAGACGAACCTTCTTTCTAACGGTTTTTGAAAATATTTTATTTGCGAAAACTAAATCCCGCCACAGATAAATAAATATAATGAATAATAACAAATAAGCAAGAAATAGATAAATAAAGCGAAAATAAAGAAAAACAAAAAATATAAGCAAAACCATAAAACCTAAAGGAAAGCTTCTAAACCTAGGGTTGAGTCTCCAATAGAGTCACCAGTTGTTGTAACTGGTTTTTAAATCAGAGTCGCCACCCTTAATTTTTATCCTAAAGGAAGTGAGTATAAAGGAATAACCTTAAAAGTCAGAGATTCTAGATTTGGACTCGGCTCTAGACGAGGGGAAGGTGTTAGGCACCCCTTATCTACCTTGTTCACAAGGATACTAGATTTAGAAGCGCGACTTTAGGAAATAGGGTATTTAATTATTGTTGGGAAAAAGGGTTTGAATTTTATTTAGCGGGACTCGCCACGATTTTTGATCGTATGCCCCATTTCTACCCGGCGGATAATGATAAAATCAAAGTTCAACATAAATAGGATGCTACATGTTCAACTTAAAATCAAACTTCATTTAATCACATATAAAACAGATACATAGCACTTAACGCGGATGAACCGATAACAACCTGATTTCGTAGTTCGCGGTTTGTTTTGTATTTTTTATGGATTACAAAATATATTTGAATTTCCCGCATACGTAGTCTAAGAGTGAATGGCGGAGTTTGTTAGACAAAGTGCGTAGTTAATTTAAATATATTTGTATTTATTTCCGAAAATTAATTGTTCGAATTAATTTAATTTGCAAAAAAAAAAGTTTGGTGTTTGGTTGAATATTTTTTATACGTAGAGCGATGGAGTCTGATATAGTCTCCTCATCATGTGGCCAGATATTGGTCACGTGTTGCTTGCGAATGGTGAATTTGGTGAGTAGATTTTAATCGTTTGATTTTGAATAATAAACCGGTAGACAATGTGTCGCCGATTTAATTTCTCGAAGATGGACATCCTATTATTATAGAAGGTTTGAATTAATTGAGAAAACTAAAAAAATACGCAACAAATTAAATTAATTAATCTAACTAACTAATTAAAAAATATTTTTATATTTTTGTATTTGATATTTTTTGTTTAATAAAATAAATGCAATAGCCTAAAATTTAACATTTAACTAGTATATTTATTATTCTAGATGAAAGAAACTCAGTATCCCACTTTCAAATAATTTCACAAAGTTTAGCATGTAGTTGTTTTTCTAATTCTTTGCTAATCACCTAGTTATGAATGAATTAACTAGATTCATAATTAAAACAAATAAAATAATGTTGTAGAATATGGAAATAGGGGTGTATTACTTAGACAGACCATGGAAAACTTAGAGTAAGACCGCCACCTGACTTCTCTATTCATTTTATCATTTTTTTTACTTAAACTATTAGACCAATATGAAGTTGACACTTGGCATGGATTAAAGAGAAAATAAAGTAAAGTGACTATTAAATAGAAATCAGAGAGAGAGAGAGAGAGTTATCAAATACTCAGCATCTTCCTCTCACTGCTTTTCGTTTTCCTTCTCCAAACCTTTTTTTATTTTTCTTTCAAACCAATACCCATATGATTCAAAGCCCCAAAAAAATAAAACCACATAATATATGCATATACACAGAAAAGTCATGAAATCAATCAGCAAAAAGGAGATGCAAGAAATCTCACGGTGGTGGTGGTGTTGTAGATCCGAGCGGAGGAGATCTGAAAAAGAGAGAGGAAAATTCATTGTGTGTTTTGCGTCGGAGGCTGGCCGATACATTGCACGTTTTATATTGGATTGACGTTGGAGGTACTCGCCGTAAATGGTAATCGACGACGCGAGCTTGCTATGTTGCTGGGGTAGTTCCGACGGTGGCGTGATGGTCGATGTGAGCGATATGGAAGGCGGCCCGGGCTTGGCAGCAGATCAAAGCGAAGTTTCTTCGTCTCTTTTTTTTCTACATAATAACAAAAAGAAACAACACTACAACAATATTTTCATATTTTAATTGCAAATTTTTATTACTCTATTTTTTCAAATTGATTGTTAATTGTGTGTATAATGTTTTGCAGAGATGAACAAGTTTTAAGAACAATTGTTAATAAGAAAAAATATGATGATGGCTATTTATCACAAGTTATGGTGAGTTTATGAAAAATGATGGTGGGTTCTCTTGGAAAAAAGCAGATGAACGAAAGAGTGGTTTTCTTGAAATTGGTAAAGCCGTAGCTTTGGGCATTGAAATTGGCAAAGTTGTAGCTTTGGGCATTGAAATTGGCTAATTGACAAAATATTTTTGTGAACAGTATCATACTTCTTTTTTGTGTTAAAGGTGCAAATAGATAAATGTTCTGGACTGGGTCCGACAGGCCCAAAAGCATTGCTAAGGCCCAATCCAAATGGACTTGCTGAGGACCACGCCGACCAAAGGGTCACAGTCGTGCCCGACGTGCTCCCTGAGGTCACGTGCTCGACCTCTACACCTCCAGCTCGACATCCTACTGTCCAGCTCGACATCACCTCGCGCACTCCAAATAGGGCAGACTTAGTCCACTGCACTCCCAACGAGGCTCCGAAAAGACCGTCTCCGTCCGCCCGCACTTCACGCAGAATATCCAAGAAGGGGACCACGTGCGGGTCTCCACTACGCACGTAGAACCTGGCAGTTCCTCCATTGGGCCAAACCTGCCCGGCCCAATGAAGGAACCTTGGCCCAGCGCTGGGGGCTATAAATACTCTCTGTTTCCAGAGGGTCAGGTATTCATCATTCTACCCATACACTTAATTATTGCCTGCTCGTGCTTCTACTTACTTCAGCATCGGAGTGCCTTGCAGGTACCCTCCCCACCTCGTTCAAAAAGCTTTCAGCTCGGAGCCAGCCGTGACGGTCCATTTCTGATCAGGTCAGATCAGTGGCGCCGTCTGTGGGAACCTAGCTTCCCCGTCTTACAAACAACTCAAAAGACCAAAGCTCAAAATTCAACTACCTGTCATGGCTGATCCAGCTCGCGATGAGCAGAACGTCCGTGTCGCCGACACCAATAACGGCACGGCGGACAAAAACGGACACCTCGATAACCCCGGCGACCCCGGCCATAGTACCATTCCTGTGACGACCGCCCCTGGAACTTCCTCCTACAGGGACGAGGCTACTGCATCATCCTCCCCGCTCCCACCACCACTTGAAGACGACCCGACGGCGCTCGCTCATTACAGAGCTGCCCGGTTCCATGAAGTCCCAGTTCCCGCCGGGGCAGATGCCACGACTCAGGCACTGTTCGCGGCCATTAATCAGACAAACTATCTCATCTTCGCCCAAGGAGAAAGACTAAGGGCGCTTGAAGATGACCGAAGACCCCCGAGGAGGCATCAGAGGCCACACTCTCCACCTCCTCGGGTCACAGAAGTTCGACACCCTTCTCCCCCGCGGAGACACTACAGGGAGAACTCCAGAAGCCCCTCTCCCCGGCCAAAGCAGAGGCGACCCTATTTGGAGAGACAACCCGTCAACCCTGCCGGAGAACCCAGTCGCGACCTGGCAAGGCACGACAAGAGACACGCCGGAGACGGGCGCGTAACATTCACCCAACGAGCATCACGCTCGAGGGAGACTCAGCACGACCACGACCGCCGTGCCAGACAATGCTACAGGTCCCCATCTCTGTCTCCGGAGAGGAGCGACGAGGACGACCCCCGCGGTCCCCTGTCGCAGGTCATCATGGATGCACCCATCCCCCCGGGCATGGAGAAGCCCCCACATCTGAAGGAGTACGATGGAGTCGCGGACCCGGTCGACCACATTGACGGGTTCGAGGCTATGCTCCATTATCATAATGTCGGGGGGCCCATCAAGTGCCGTCTTTTCCCCACGACTCTCAGGAAGGCGGCCATGGATTGGTATAAAGGACTCGCCCCGGGCTCAATCGCGTCGTGGCGGAACCTGAAGAACCAGTTCATCAGTTCCTTCACAGCTTCTCGGCGCCATCCGAAGACCGAGGCGGCCCTCGAGGCCATCATCCAAAGACAAGATGAAACCTTGAGGGAGTTCATCAACCGCTTCAACCGAGAAGCAATACAGGTCCCCTGCGCGGACCATATGAAAAGATACTTGCTGGAGAGGGGTCTCCTCCCCGGCACAAAATTCAGAAAGGCTGTGGGTATCGAGCCACCTCCGACATTTGATGCCCTCCTCGATAAGGCCCGAGCATATATGGACTACGAGGAGAGGGAAGCTGCAAACAGGGCCCAAGACTCCAGGACTCGGGGTCCCAACAACAGCAGCAGCTCACGCCAAGAGGCTCCTCCCCGACGTACCGGGGAGAAAAGGAAAGAAGATCGACCCCGGGAAGTCCGGGAACAAAGGGGCCCCTCGGGCCGTTTCACCGAGTACACTCCGCTCACAGCTTCCCGCGAGCGTATTTTGGCGGAGTGTGCCAGTACAGACTTCAAGGACGGCGGCGTCAAGCGTCCCCGACCTGCTCCCGCCAAGTCAGGGGCAGATAAAAATAAATACTGTCAATACCATAGGAGTCATGGTCATTTGACAGAGGACTGCGTCCACCTCAAGGACGCCATTGAAACCCTCATCAAGGGAGGGAGGCTTGCGCAGTACAGGCGAAACGACGCTCCTCGTCGTGACGCCCATGAGGCCAAGGAGCCAGAAGAAGACGCCCGACCATCAGACGAGTCGGTGCCTATCCAGACCGCCTTCTCGGTAACCAGGCCCGAGGACTTCGACATTCCCGAGCACCTGCAGGAGCCTCTGACAACGCACAGCAGGTGGGAATACTTTCCATCCGCCATGGTCATCAACGGGGGCGGGTTCAACGACCTCACCATCAATTCAGCTAAGAGGAAGTTGGACGAGCTGGTCGACGCGGCTCCCCCGCAAACAGTAACGTTCGAAAGGGTGAAGGGCAGGTCAGAGCCCATCACCTTCTACCTAGAAGAACTCCCCGGCGGAGCCCCGAACGCGGTCATCCCCTTACTGATAAGGGCAAGAATGGCCAATTTTGACGTGCATCACATCCTGGTCGACGAAGGGAGTTCTGTCGACGTGATGTACAGTCAACTGTTCCGAACCTTACAGCTGGACGACTCACATCTCTCTCCGTATGTGGGGTCGGATCTACAAGGCTTCAACGGCTCGACTTCCAAACCTTGGGGTTATGTCGAGCTCCTGGTTATGTTCGGCGAAGGAACGGCTACGAGACAAGTTAAGGTCTGGTTCCTCGTCATTGACTGCCCGTCTCTATACAATTGCATCTTGGGGAGACCGACACTGGCAGAGCTAACAACGGTGCCCTCGACCGTCCATCTGAAGATGAAGTTCTACACCAGAAGGGCACGGGTAGCCACCATCCAAGGAGACCTAGCCGCTGCCCGTAGGTGCTTCAACGCTACTTCTAAGGGACGGGATACCGTCGACATATGGACCAGACCCGCTAAAAGGACAAAACAGGAGCCCGACAGGAAAGCATCCCCCGAGGAAGAAGTCCAGAAAGCTCCACCAAAGGTCGACTCCATAGCCTTGGACACCCGCTTCGATCAGGACGAGCCATCCAGCAGCGAGCAAATCCCACTCCGACCAATACCGGACGGGGATTTTGAACTCGTTCCCCTCGGCACAGACCCGACCAAGGGAGTGAAGATTGGCAAAGACCTCCCCGACTTGGCCAAGAAGCAAATCAAGGCCTGTCTGCGCGAGAATGCTGATCTCTTCGCCTGGAGCGCTGCGGAGATGCCCGGACTCGACCCTGAGGTCGCCTGTCACCACCTCGCCATTGATCCAGCCGCCAAGGCCGTAGTACAACGTAGGCGTAGGCAGTCTCCAGAAAAAACGGAGGCTGCTGAAAAAGCTGTAAAAGACCTCCTAGAGGCAAATTTTATTTCTGAAGCCCGGTATTCCACCTGGCTGTCAAATGTTGTACTTGTGAAAAAGAATAATGGAAAATGGAGAATGTGCGTTGATTATACTGATCTCAACCGAGCTTGCCCGAAAGATGCTTTTCCCTTGCCTAACATAGATATGTTGGTCGATAATTCGGCCGGCTACAAAACTTTGTCGTTCATGGACGCCTATTCGGGATATAACCAAATCCCAATGGCCCTGGGCGACAAACACTGCATGACATTCATGACCAGCTCGGGCAACTATTACTACAACGTAATGCCCTTCGGACCGAAAAATGCCAGAGCAACTTACCAACGCATGATGAACAGAGTTTTCAACAAACAGATCGGCGGCATGCTCGAGGTATACATGGACGACATGATCGTCAAATCCCGAGCAGACACTGACCACGCAGCTCATCTCAAGACAGTCTTTGCCCAAGCAAGGCAATGTAAAATGAGGTTCAACCCCGAGAAATGTACGTTCGGGGTTAAGGCGGGAAAATTCCTTGGATTCTATCTAACAGAACGGGGAATCGAAGCCAACCCCGACAAATGTCGGGCATTCTCCGACCTCCCAACACCGACGTCGAAGAAGTCGATACAAATCATGAACGGCATGCTCACGTCGCTGTCCCGCTTCATCACGAAGTCCGCTCAGCACGCCCTTCCCTTCTTCAAACTCCTTCGAAAGGAAGCAGCCTTCAAATGGAATGAGGAATGCGAGCAGGCACTACGCCACCTAAAGCAAAGCTTGTCTCAGCCGCCCGTGCTATCTCGACCAGACGACGGGGAACCACTGTACTTATACTTGGCCGTTTCGAACGAAGCCATCAGCGCAACCCTTGTCCGCGAAACCCCCGACGGGCAGAAACCCGTCTACTTCACGAGCAAAGCCTTACAGGGGCCCGAAAGCAGATACCAGCAGATAGAAAAGGTTGCTCTGGCCCTCGTCAACGCGGTGAGGAGGCTTAGACACTACTTTCTGGCCCACACCATCATCGTGCGAACCGACCAACCGGTGAGGCAACTCCTGGGACGGCCCGACATGGCGGGCAGAATGTTAAAGTGGTCCTTGGAACTCTCCGAATTCGACATTCAGTACGAAAGCAGGAAAGCCCTGAAAGCACAGGCCTTGGCCGACTTTGTCGCGGAAATGACCACTCACGATCCTCCCCCGGGGAAAGAACACAAGTGGATCATCTTTGTCGACGGAGCATCCAGCTCGTCCGGAAGCGGCGCAGGAATCCTCCTGGAAAACGAAGAAGGCGTAGTAATCGAGCACTCCTTAGCTCTCTCCTTCCCAACGTCAAACAACCAGGCAGAATATGAAGCCCTGCTCGCAGGACTGAGACTGGCCGAGGACCTGGGAGCCCGCGATGTACAGATCTACACTGAATCCCAGCTCGTCGCCTCTCAAGTACAGGGAAGCTACCAGGCCAAAAACGACAACCTCATCGAGTATTTGAACTTAGTCAAAAAACACATGACAAAGTTCGTACGAGCAGAAATTTCACACGTTCCCCGCGAGCAAAACACGAGGGCGGACATATTGTCCAAACTTGCGAGCACACGAAAGAAGGGCGGGAACAAATCCGTCATCCAGGAATCTCTAGCGTGTCCAAGTATCGAACGACCCTCGACTACAGTCGAGATCCATGCCATCGGGGATGCTACGTCCTGGATGACCCCGGTTTATAATTTCCTGACAAAAGGAGAACTCCCGTCGAACCAGGCCGAAGCTGCCGTCACCAAGCGACGAGCATGTTCCTACGTGGTTCTCGAGCAGAAACTGTATCGGAGAGGATTCTCCACCCCCCTCCTGAAATGCATCGACGAGTCCACCATCCCCGAAGTACTGCGGGAGATACACGAAGGGATCAACGCCCAACACATGGGCGGTAAATCCTTAGCAAGGAAAGCCCTTCGAGCAGGATACTACTGGCCGACGATGCAGCAGGATGCCAAGGAACACGTCAAAAAATGTGATAAGTGCCAGAAGCACGGGGACATGCACCTCGCCCCTCCGCACGAGCTGAGCATATTGTCGTCCCCGTGGCCGTTCGCCTGGTGGGGTATGGACATCCTCGGGCCTTTCGTGCAAGGAACCTACCAGAACAAATTTCTCATCGTCGCCGTGGATTACTTCACAAAATGGATCGAGGCCGAGGCCCTCGCAAAAATCACCTCGCACAATATCCTCTGTTTCTACAAAAGAAACATCCTCGCCAGATTCGGAATTCCACGGGCCCTGGTGACCGACAACGGTACCCAGTTCACCGACCGCGGGTTCCAAGACTTCGTCACCAAACTAGGTACAAAACAACATTTCACGTTGGTCGAGCACCCTCAGACCAACGGGCAAGCCGAAGCCGCGAACAGAGTCATCCTCCGAGGACTCAAGTGTCGACTCGGCGAAGCCAAGAGGGGATGGGTCGAGGAGCTCCATAGCGTCTTGTGGGCATACCGCACCACGCCCCACTCAACGACGGGCGAGACGACATTTCGACTGACATATGGCACCGAGGCCGTCATCCCGGTCGAAATCATGGAACCATCCAGACGAACCGAGAACCCCCTTGATGAAGAAATGAACGACGAGGCACTAAGGGACGAACTCGACCTAGTCGAGGAAATCCGATCGGATGCAGCCCTGCGCAAAGCCACCCTAAAACAACGAGTGGCTCTACGCCACAACGACAAGGTCATCAAGCGCGAGTTCGAAATCGGCAGCCTGGTATTACGTAGGAACCAGAAGGATTCCTGCGAAGGGAAGCTGGCCGCGAACTGGGAAGGACCTTATCGCGTCCACGGCACCACTGGTACCGGGGCGTACTATCTCGAGCAATTAGACGGAGAGCCATTACCACGACCCTGGAACGCTGCTAAGCTAAAGCAGTACTACAGTTAAAAACTACCAACACCTGGGACCCTCGACCAACGGCACCCGCGCTCGGTCAACGAGGAAAACGTCTGACTTCGTATAAAGGCTGAGGTACAAGCCCGACATACGGCTAAATCGCACAACATCGCTCAGCAAACGAGGATAATCGATAGTGCCCGACGTGGACAGCTACACCGAGCACCACCGTCGTTGTACCCGTAAGGCAGAACACCCAGCTCGCGATGGGCAGTTCACGCCATGGGCGAATAGTCCCTACCGGGCTTCGCGCCCGACTGAGCACCTTCGCTCCATATGCCCGACAAGTCGTCAAGAATGACGGGCCATCTAAAAGGGTCAAAGGGAAATCTCTCCCCTCGAGCGCAACACTTAGGTGACTCTGGCCAGCGAAAGAGGGCCGGGCACATATACAAACGGAAGACGGGCAGACTCGCTCGCTAAATCACAGCCACTTACGGGCACTCCTCGGGCCCATGACTTAGGCTAAATTTTATGCAAATATATACGATTTCAAACACGGGCAAAACATTCAAATGTAAAACAACATTCATTCAAATAAAAATGCCCGAAGGCGACAAAGCAAACAATTATAAACCGACCAAGAAGGCCGGCGATGTTCATAACATACAACCGACGGGCACGCAGGCCCAAAAAATACAAATGTCAAAGGCACGCAGGCCCGCTATCCTACAATCAGGCTTCCCCAGAACCATCATTGTCGACAACTGGAGAGTCGGGCGAGGGCACGATCACGCCATCCACGATCTGATGTGTGTTGCCCGTCCCCTCAGTGACCAAACCAGGGTTTAACAAGGAAAGCTGGCCGACTGCAGAGTCGAACCCCTCCTCCAGAGCACCGACGCAATCTGCCTCGAGTAGCCGGATATGGGCGACCAACTCCGATCGACTCTTCAAAGCCGCTATGTCCTCCGGCTCATCCTCGGCAGGAAGCATGGCGACTCTCATGTCCTCGATTTGTTGGGTCAAGCGCCCGATGTCAGTCTCCAGACGATTCCTGTCCGCACGGAGAAACTCTCCCTCCTCGGTCAGCTTCCCCGACCTTTCCTTCTCCAGGACCAGCATCTCCCTCTCAGCATCCAGCAGCACTGTCTGCTCGCGGAACATCTCCTCGGAGCGTTCCAGGGCAGTCTTCAACTTCCGCGAGCTCGAGGTGAGAGCCGCTTTCTCCTGCTCAAGTTCTTCAATACGGACAGGATCCCCCCTTCCTCGGACAACACCAGGGCCATTTCGGCCATTTTCACCAGCCCGTCCATGCTGGCGGCCAGATGCCTCTTCCGATCCTCCTTACTCATCCTTTTGATAGTCTCAGCCTCATCGGCAACCACTGATAGAGGGAATCTCTCGAAGAAACCCTCCTCTTTGAAACAAGGGGGAAACCCGAAAGACCTGACGGCGCTGGTGTCCTCGCTGACAGCCGGACCGCTTTCCACCCGGGTTAGTGTCGAGCAAGTTCATAAATAAATGACGAGCAAAGAAATTCAAGCAATAAACGACCTAGCAGACGAGCAGCCTGCCTGAACGTCTGACACTCCACGAGTGCCTTAGTATCAATCGGCCGAGACTCAAATGTCGGATAACCCTCTGCATCCAAGACATCTTCCCCTTCCCTCGTGGCCTACCGGGCGGGGTGGAAGCTGTCGACGAACCGACAAAGAGTGGCGTACGCCTCCTCGTCCTCCGAACACATGTCCTCGGCAGCAGTATGGTAGTATCCAGTCCCGTGCTCGTAGTGCCTGAACATCCAATGCACAGGGAACTTGGCTGTACGGGCCATCACGGGATACCCATCGTTGCCTAAGACCGCCTCCCCGTCATCATCGCTTATGGGTGCCTCCTCCTCATACAGGGATCTCAAAGCAGATGTGGTAACTGGCCGCACGACATACCACTTGTCTTTAAAACCCCTCACGGAGTCCATGTACATTTTGAATAGTCTCCTCGACTGTTTTAAGGAGACCCAACTGTGTTTCCCTCATCGGGACTGGCGCTGCAGATGAAAAATTCTAAAGAAGAGCGGTATGGTCGCCCCGATCCTCAGAAAGCGACATGTCAGCTCAAACGCCCGGATAAAGGCGAGTGAGTTCGGGTGTAGCTGCGACGGAGCCAACTCCAGATGGGTGAAGACCCCGGTCTGAAAGTCACTGAAGGGCAGCTGCAGCCCAAGATCTTTGAACGCGATCTCGTACATCGGGAAGCTATACTCTGGGTACACCGAGCAGATCCAGGCACGGGAGGTCGGACGCATGACAACGAAATTTTTTGGAAGTCAGGCTGGCCCTGGCCCGCTTCGAGGACAACATATGGATTTCGGTCACGCCGGCTATATATCGACGCGATTCCTCGGGGCTCGGCGCCCACCCAATCCAGCAAAGGGTCTTCGACAGTATCAATCAAGCTGACCGCCTCATCGGCACTTTGTTCCTCATGTTCGTGGCGTCTAGAGGAGCACGGCTCGTCCGCCATGGTTACCTGCAGAGCACGGGAAACCAGTCAATTGGGCATGGAACCATACGCTCGACAAACCACGTAGTCACATGCACGACCACAAAGGTCAGTTTACACAAGTAGTCGCCTCCCCGACATCCAGAAAACTCGATGTGTTCTTCTCCAAACCGACTACGCGGCCACTCTCCAACATGTCGACCCAAGGTATGAACATGGGGAGCAACATCATGAGACCTACGACCAGGACCATGAACATACCGGGCGCGATCATGAATCAGGCGCCCTGGATCATGAAGACCCCGGGCAGCGCTGCTGATTATTACCTAAAACTATGAATCTACCGGCCACGAGCATGTGTTTGCCGGTCCTAAGCATGAATATGTCGAGCTAAGCATGAGTTTACCGGGCTAGTCCCACGCGCACAATCCCTAAAACGTCCACAAACGCTGAAAATCATGCATTATAACAGGAAAATGAAGAAGATAAGTCACTTACTTGAATCAAAAAGTGGATTCGGCTACGGAGGAAAAGAATCTGTAACAGAAGATCGCAGCTATGAAAAATCTGGAAGAACAACAGCAGTAGGAGCGCAAAGAGTAGAAACGTGTTATGGGGCCCAAGGTTCCTATTTATAGTGATGACGTGGAATACCAAACGTCACCTTGGGCAACCACGGAGTTTCTCTCCTCGACGCACTGCTCCCAACGCAATGATGACCCTATCATCATAGGGTGGCGGCACAGTTCCCGAAAGATACCTCGTGTGCTCGACAGACACGCGCCGGTGAGGATCCTCCGAGCATCCACCGCGGAAGATGTCTCCGAGCACGGCACGGAGAGGCCCTCGAGGGCCTGCATCTCTGTCCCGGGCGCGAGACCCCGAAGCGGAAACGACCTAAGTTCAAGCCATGGCTCCTAACAAAGGAACCACGACTTGGGGGGATCCTGTTCTGGACTGGGCCCGACAGGCCCAAAAGCATTGCTAAGGCCCAATCCAAATGGACTTGCTGAGGACCACGCCGACCAAAGGGTCACAGTCGTGCCCGACGTGCTCCCTGAGGTCATGTGCTCGACCTCTACACCTCCAGCTCGACATCCTGCTGTCCAGCTCGACATCACCTCGCGCACCCCAAATAGGGCAGACTCAGTCCACTGCACTCCCAACGAGGCCCCGAAAAGACCGCGTCTCCGTCCGCCCGCACTTCACGCAGAACATCCAGGAAGGGGACCACGTGCGGGTCCCCACTACGCACGTAGAACCTGGAAGTTCCTCCATTGGGCCAAACCTGCCCGACCCAATGAAGGAACCTTGGCCCAGCACTGGGGGCTATAAATACCCTCTGTTTCCAGAGGGTCAGGTATTCATCATTCTACCCATACACTTAATTATTGCCTGCTCGTGCTTCTACTTACTTCAGCATCGGAGTGCCTTGCAGGTACCCCCCCCCCCCCCCCCCCCCACCTCGTTCAAAAAGCTTTCAGCCCGGAGCCAGCCGTGACGGTCCATTTCTGATCAGGTCAGATCAATAAATAATATGGATTTTAATTGTGAGAATATGTGTATAAGTGGATACAAGAAATAAGTTGTTGGAAATTAATTTCAATGTGTGGTAACATGAAAGCATGTGTAGACGGTAGAATATGCACGTGAGTGAGAGTTTGTGAATATGTGAATTATCATTTTTTTATAAAAAAACTCCGCCTATCAAAAAATCTATATGATTCTAAAGACAAACAAATTAAAATTAGTGGGAGACCTCATAGTTTAATCATTGGCTGATAATAAAACAATAACACCAAAAGTTTTTTTGAAGAGAAAAATTGAAAAGAAGTTTATAAACAAGTAATGTGTGAGTGTGATTGAATTGTAGATAATCTAGAAGTGTGAAAAACATGCCCTATTTATAGATTAAAAAACCATCCAAATTGGAAATTAAACAAAATTGACCAATCAAAAATAAAATGTGACACAAATTGACATCAAATGGCCAATAAGAAACACCTATTTAAAAAGGAAAGAAAATTAGTGACAAAAAATAGAAAAAAAGAAAATGTTGAAAGTGTGACACAAGAGATTCAAACTCGTGACCCTATACTTGCAAGCTTCATTCTTCACCAATTGTGCTATGTTACTGATTTGTAAATAAACTCAATTTAAAAGTATATGAAAGGTGTGCAAATATTTATTTATTCAAAAATACAAATGATCTGAAATAAATCATTATATTTTTAAATTGGTTTGTAAGAGAATATTTATAAAAATCAAATAATATTATAAAAATAATGTTTAAAATATTTTTTACCGTAGAAATAAAAGGGCGGGCAAATTTGGGGTATGACACTCAAGAACTCAAAGACTTAAGAATCAGAAAGGCTATTGCCACAATATCTGATTTCAAGATCCAAACTTCATAAAAGCTTTTGATATCAACTTCACAAAAGCTTTAGTCTACAAAGACAAGACTTATTTCTTAGATAAGTTATTACTTATATATCTGAAGTCAAGAATCCACTAATTAGAGAATCTGAAATGAAACATCTTCTCACATAATCTTCATCTCTCAGATCAGATCAGAAATACGCCTTCAAGACTAGTTCTAAGATAAAAAGCCAAGCTTCGTGTTTTAGAAAGGCTGTTGCTATTATTTCTGAAGACAAGTCATGGTTCTGATAACTCTTATGTTCATATGCTACAACAACAAAGTAGTTTTTGAACTACTCATCAGTCATTCATCAGAAGAACAAAGACGAAGTGATTGATCTCTTCCAAGCTTAATACTTCAGAATCATAAGTACATCATCAGAAGATAAAGATCAAGAAACTTAGTCAACAAGAATATAATAGAAACAGTACACCACAAATTTCATTATCATGGTATTGGTTATACTATTCAAAGAAGTTGTCTCCCACATTTTATGCTAACAACTGCAAGCAGCTGACTAAGGAAAGTGACATTTCATAATGTTCCAAACCTCTCTTGAATATATCAATTGGGAATCAACCGTTGGAAGGAGAAAATACCTTTCTATCCTAATAATGACTCTTTTTTAAGGCTATAAAAGGAGATCAATGAAATGAAGTAAAATTGCTGAAAATCCATGGATGCAGATGTTGTTGGAGTTGTTACGTTGAACATGCTGAAGCTGACCAAAAAGAAAGAGAGAAATAAAAATAATATATGAAAAGAATAAAGAAGCAAGGAGTTATTGCTCATAACTTTCTTAACAAAGAAAGAAGATGAAGAAGAAGAATTCTACAAGTAGATACTCAAATTCTTATCAAATACATCTTGGTAGAAATATGAAGAAGCAAGGAGTTATTGCTCATAACTTGCTTAAAAAAGAAGATAAATACAAAGAAGACTACAAGATGCTGCACTCAAACTTAGATTATATTCATCTTTGTAGAATCATGTAAACACAATAGTTGTTGCTCATTTTGTGTTATAGCTTAAGTTCTTCATGTAAATTGTTTGAACACAAGAGTTGTTGCTCAAAATTATGTTAAAAAATATGTACTTAAATTTGGAGTAACCTTCTTATTAAGAAGAGCTCATGTAATATCTAGAAAAAAATTCTATTCAGAATTGGTAATGCCTCAAGTCATCTAGTGAAGATCTGATACTTGGGAAGACTTTGGTTGCAGTCATTGTGGATGAA